GCTCCGATGCCCGGCAGTATTTTATTTCGATTATTATGTTGGAACTGGATTTTTCTTGTTTCACAAGCTCATTCTATTTTATTGTCTCTATGGAGGTATATGGGGACTTTACGACATTCGGTTTGAAGGCTTTAACCACTTGTTATAGTTTATGTTTGCATTGTATTGGATTAATGTGGTAGTCCAAGGTTGTTGTAGGTGGTTTTCAAGTTTATGCACCCGGTTTTAATATCATTTAGCGATTTTACGACAATCGTTTACTATCCAATCAAGCCTTGATCAAGGTGACAGCCGAGCGTGCTTCGGACCAATGAACCCTTGATGAAAAAATCGATGAAAATGTTACCACTTTTCGGACCAATGAACCTTCGGACTATCGAGACGCCCCCGTCGCCGTCATGTGTGGAGTAATATATGCTCCTTAAACTATATAACTGCTGCATATAACTTCTTTAAATTGTTGGAAGTGGTCATACCTGTTAATGCGCCCATTTTAGTACTTATGCAAATTATTTTTGACTAAAAAACAGAAGACCAAATACTTGTCTCCATACAATGAACTATTATCGTTGTGTACTTCTAGTGACCAGCTGAAGCGCCATTATAACCTGGGCCAGTACTGGGTGGATATCAATATTGAAGATATTGCAAGTTATGATGAAAACCTGGCAGAAAAACTCACCAAAGTTCCTGCAGACCATATGCCACTGGTGAGGAAAGCTGGTGTAGAAGTTGACCCTGGAAAATTTGTCCATCACATTACACGTTACATTACGTAGCACTTGTATTATCAGACATGCTGAAAACTTTTCAGAATGGCCGGACATTTGGACCGGCAGTAATGAAAAATTTGTCAGACCGAATGGATTTTTGTCAGACCTAAAATAACCCTATTTGTTTAAGACAGATACTACCAGTGCGATTAAGGAAGCTTACTTTGTTTGTGAATGTGATAGGTTTGAAACAGGAAGGGGAAAAAACGCTACGGGTTTTATATAATTTTGTTAGTGAAGTATGTCAAATGATGACTGTTAATTCAAAATTGTGGCTCTTAAAACTCTTGTCGGTCCTTTAGACCGACCAAATCCAAATTTTTATCGGTCCAGACAAATTTTCTCGGTCATGACTGATTGGACCGACAGTTTCAGCATGTCTGAATTATCATTTGACCCTCTAACCTGTTAGGTTTTAACAGTTTTTGTGTTAAATATTCAGTTATATATCTGAAAACTAGTATTCTTCTTCTACTGACACATTCTCATGGGTGAGATTTTTAAGACTATCTGCAGATTTTCAACCCTTTTTTTTTGAGAGCTAAAAATATTGATCTCAGAGGCTCCTTAGACATCATATTTTCCAACTATTTCAGTAAATGGTAGTCTCATCCCTGTATTCAGAAAACAGAAGTATTCCATTTTAAAGTTAATGCCGTCTGTCACTGATTATTTATGTGAAATTATTGGCCAAGTGTGTCCTGTAGATGTCACTGTTTGTGGTTGTAGTTTGAGGATGCTGCTAAGGAAGTGGCAGATGAAGTGACCAATCCACGACCTGAGGGAGAGGAAGAAGTTCAAGATGTTCAAGTTGTCCTCAACTCCACTGCCAATTGTGCAGCCATAAGAGACCTCAAGGTAGCCAATTATACAGTTTTATAAACTCCATGAATTGTGTAACTATAAGGAAGCTTCTTTATGCTTAAATGTGGCTTTCATTTGGTAAACCAACGGAAATATTTTTTTACAAATTCTGAATATCTGATGACTTTGTAATGATAAGAAAGTTCCTCACTTTGCAATATCTTTTTAATTGAAAGTGGATTTTTGCATAAGGGTTGAAGAAAGAATGTTCCAGAGAAAATGTTTCCACTGATTTAAACACACTATGTTCTGGTCTGCTTTTGATGAAGTGAGTGGTAGATGTCTGCTGTAAAATATCAGCTCAGGTTTGTTGACAGTTGGTTCACAATTTCAGTCAGACCAGATGTCAAGGTTGGTGAAGATTCCTGGTATCATTATTGCTGCGTCTGCCATTAAAGCCAAAGCAACACGGATCAGTATCCAGTGTCGTAGTTGTAAGAACGTGATGAACGATATCCCTGTTAAGCCAGGGCTGGAGGGGTACGCACTGCCCAGAAAGTGCCCCACGTAAGTGTTCACTATGCTGCTAGTTTAATGCATGCCTATTTGAAAACATCATGGGCCTTAATAACCTAGTGAATAGTACACTATTTTCACTGTGCTCCACAATCAGCATTTTATCAAATTCTCAGATCAGTAATAAGAACGCCCAAAATGTCTATCAATACATTAATTATATCTCAGAGAGAAGGCTGGCAGACCTAAATTTCTATCAATTCATTCTTTATCATTTTATTTCACAGAGAGCAGGCTGGCAGACCTAAATGTCCAGTGGATCCATTCTTCATAGTGCCTGACAAGTGCAAGTGTGTGGATTTCCAGATTCTAAAACTTCAGGAATCTCCAGAAGCAGTCCCCCATGGAGAGATGCCCAGGCACATGCAGCTGTTTTGTGACAGGTAAAATTCCCACTTGTATTGTAATAGAAAGCCTAGAACAGAAAATAGTTTTCTTTTTATCCAATCTACGTGATATAACTTTGCTAAATCATTATGCCAGGGTTTCCTCCAGCTTTGAAACATGGAGATTGTTCTTGCTCCAACTTTAAAATTGGATGCCAGTTTTGAGTAGGTATCAAAATAAGGAAGTGAGGTGGACATTTTGGTAAAATACATCTAGGTTCCCCAAAAGTTGCACAGAAAGAAGCCCTTGTAATACTACATATTCTTTGAGGCTTTACAAATTGTAGATGAATATTGTTTGATATTTGATGTTCTAATGATCTGTGTGAGAGGGTAGTTCCAGGCATCATTCTGTTTATGTTCTAGGTATCTGTGTGAGAGGGTAGTTCCAGGCAATCGTGTTACATTAATTGGTGTCTACTCCATTAAGAAGACCTCCAAGCCTTCAAAGGTAACGTAGCATCTTGGAATGGCATTTGCACCTGGATCTGACTGTATACCTCTTTAAAACTCGACAGGGTTGTTTAAGCTTAATAGGTACTAGTAAAAGATTCTTTTTGACTTCACTGTCTAAGCTGAGTCTGCCTTTGATTAATTGAGGCTGGGGTATCGCTAGCCAAATCACCACATATTTGTCAATTTGTTACCAAAATGGTTATAATTTGGCTAAAACATGTCAAATCAAGTCCTTTTTCTTTAGCCAATTTTAGTCAGTTTTAGTATTTGGCTAAACTGGCGAGTGTTAACGCTACCCCAGTGAGGGGAAGACTTAACATGAGCAAAAAAAAACGTGCTTCTAGATGCAATTTTTTATGTACAGACACAGATGTGTCTGTACATATAGCCATCATCTGCGTCTGTCGTCGCCGTCGCCGTGCACTTTTACCAATAACACGATAAGTGGAAAACCATTTTGCCTTTTGATTTGAAACTTGCAGAACTGATGAATATTCATTATATACAGGTCAAGTTCGAAAATCNTTTTTACTAGTCTACAGTTATGTGTGGCCTGCCAACTTGATAACAATATGGCACCATATAATCCTAGCTGTGATTTACCCGTGTGTTACTCATTTTGATTACAATATGCCACAATGTAACACTAGCTGTGATTCACTTGATTGTTACTCTCAATTTGACCTCATTCCCATACCTAGATCAATCTAACAGGATTGATCCATCCCGAGAGTTTTCTCGCCAAATTGCCTTCAGATTAAAGCGCCTTAAATGTCTGGCACGCCTACTGAAGCTGCTAAACGAAAGTAAATTTCCTCATAACAGCTTCAACAAACGTGCCAGACATCTTAAGGTGCTTAAGCTGAAAGTATTTTAGTTAGAAACCCCTCAGAGATGGAGCAATCATGTTAGATCAATCTAAGTATGGGAATGAGGTCTTTGATTACAAAAGGCACAATATAATCCTAACTGTGATTTACCTGTGGATGAAATACAAACTAATTCAATAATTATATGGCACAATATAATCCTAGCTGTGGTGATTTGTCAATGGACCATAGTAATTATTTGTGCCTAAATCAACATCAGACATCCCTGCTCACAGCTTCAAGGTGGCTTTGGGCTCCTTAAACCTGGGACATCAGAATATTACAGGAGTAATTGAACTGAGCATTTCATCTTGTACGAGATTCCCTTTTTTAAACGGATGTTTATTTCTAACCTGATCACAATATCAAGGTGTATATTTCAGACCCCTGGCAGAGATAAGGTAAATGTTGGTATCAGGGCACCATACCTGCGTGTGCTAGGTGTCCAGGTAGATACAGAGGGACCAGGTAGAAGTACAGGTAAGACCTACAAACCATTCAGCTGACAGGGGTGTTAAAACATTGCTCAAACATCTACATAAAGTTGTGAAAGGAGGAGCACAGAGATTGTGCAGAGAACTTAACATTCACTCTTCTCTGGTCCAGCTGGTTTTCATTATCGGTCTAGTTAAACATTTAGGTTCATTAATCTAAAGACTACAGACAAATATTAATGCATGTAAGAATAGTCTGTGTGTGTGTGCACAGTGCTCATGCAAGGAGATACTATGTAGATTTATAATTACACAGGTTCACCAATAACCCCTGAGGAAGAGGATGAGTTCCGTAGACTGGCAGCTAGCCCAAATATTTATGAAACACTTGCCAAGAGTGTGGCGCCATCTATTTATGGCAGCTTGGACATCAAGAAGGCCATCACCTGTTTGTTGTTTGGGGGCTCGAGGAAAAGGTCTGTTTTAATTATTATTATTATTATTATTATTATTAAATGAAATTAGTGCAAGTGGTATACAATAAATTGTGGAGAGTTCATATTTAAAAAGATGTCTTCTTGCAGACTTCCAGATGGTTTGACCAGAAGAGGTGATGTCAATGTTCTGTTGCTAGGAGACCCAGGGACGGCGAAGAGTCAGCTCCTGAAGTTTGTAGAGAACTGTGCACCAGTGGGTGTATACACATCAGGCAAAGGCAGCAGTGCTGCTGGTCTTACAGCCTCTGTCACCAGGGACCCTGCAACTGTAAGTCACTTCTCCGTTAATACAGATCAGACTTTTCTAGTCTTTTTCTGGAGGTCTTAGATATATAAAGATCAGTCTTCTCAAAATAGTCTTTGTGTAGGGCTAAGATTTTTCTGAACAATATGATGAGGCAGGATCTATATTACACTGTTTAATTTCCAGCGTAACTTTGTAATGGAAGGTGGCGCCATGGTTCTCGCTGATGGAGGCGTCGTCTGCATTGATGAGTTTGACAAGATGAGAGAAGATGATAGGGTGGCCATTCACGAGGCTATGGAGCAGCAGACCATTTCTATTGCTAAGGTATTTCTTCACTGAATACAGACCATTTCTATTGTTAAATTTCTTTTTCTACAGTAAATACTTCAGCAGGGTGTGTATAATGTCTGTATGGAAATGTGTGAAGGCTTCAAAAGCTTCACTACAAGTTACCTGATTAAAAAGTTATTTCTTCACTTCAGAACAACCTGACTTTCTCTGTGTGCTCTTTCTCATCAAAAGTGTCAATTTTCAGGCTGGTATCACCACTACCCTGAACTCAAGGTGTTCCGTGCTGGCCGCGGCAAACAGTGTGTTTGGGCGTTGGGATGACACCAAGGGAGCAGACAACATTGACTTCATGCCCACCATTTTGTCCAGGTTTGACATGATATTTGTGGTCAAAGATGAGCATGATGAAGCCAGGGACATTGTGAGTATCTGCAGACTGAGGAAATTCCTAAACAATGAAAGACTGCACACAAATATAAACTTTAAATATTTTATTTTCATTATTCAGTTATAGAACAGATGAAAATCCCTTACTGTCCCCAGTGTGATGGCCTCTGCTGTACTACAAAAACTGACCTGACATACTTCTATGTTTCTTCACAGTCATGGACCATCAATATCCTTGTGAATATCCCATAAAACAAACTGACTTATCATATTTGATGTTTTTTTTCCTAGACTTTGGCCAAGCATGTGATGAATGTCCATGTGAATGCCCGGCAGACGACAGAGGAGCAGAGAGAGGGGGAGGTGGACCTGCCCACACTGAAGAAGTTGATCTCATACTGCAGAAGGTGAGAAATTTCTGAATTTTCTTAACTCTTCTGAGGGAAAATTCTTTAAAAAATCAATTAAAAGGGTGAAGTTGGTATTTTAAATAGCAGGTTGCTGCCATTACTCTGCTACGGAGTGTGGATAACTAAAACCTTGCACATCTGTGTATCCAGTTGCTTCTGTATACACATTCCCTTTTGTTTCTGGTAAAAAGAAACCCGAGTACTAAGAATTTATATATTTTCCTGATATAAGATTCATTGGTTAAAAACCACCAGAGTATTTATGTTGCATTTATCTCTCAGCAAATGTGGACCACGTCTGTCAGCAGAGGCTGCGGAAAAACTCAAGAACCGTTATGTGTTGATGAGGAATGGAGCTGGTGAACATGAGAGAGAGACTGGAAAGAAAACCAGTATTCCTATCACTGTCAGGTATATATTATTGTGTAGATCAGGATGTTTATAAAGAACAAGAAAGAGACATGGGAAAGCATACCAGCATTTCTGTCAGTTGGGTATTTAAGAAATAAATTGGAAAATGGCCATTTTGCTGGATGGTGTTGAAAAAACTGCTGACAAATGCTCCAGTTTCATATCAATAGTTCATTGTTTCCAACTCTGAATTAGAGACCATTCCCATGGATATTTAGATCGATCTATCCCCCCTGGGGAGTCTCACTAAATTGCTGTCAACTTGGCCAGCTTAAATGTCTGTCACGCCTAGTAAAGCCTCTTGAGCTGACAGCAGTTTAGCGTGAACCCCCAGGGAGTTAGGTGGGAATGCAGTCTTAGTTCATATCAACACTGGTTATAAGATGTATCCATGACAACACAGGAGCATGCTCTCTGTGTTAATACCTGGTTGATTTTGACAAAAGTAATATTGTATCCTTTCCATGTTCCAGACAACTGGAGGCCATTATCCGTGTATCCGAGTCTCTGGCTTAGATACACAAGTAATCATATCCTTTCTCTATTCCAGACAACTGGAGGCCATTATCCGTGTATCCGAGTCCTTGGCAAAGATGCGTCTCTCTCCATTTGCCAGCGAGGCAGATGTAGACGAGGCCCTGAGGTTGTTCCAGGTCTCCACCCTGGATGCCGCCATGTCTGGTAACCTGGCAGGTGAGAAGGTTTTTCTTGCAAACAAAATAATTTCAAACAGTTCCTCATATTTGCAAACTTTGTTAAAAAAAGGTGATTATTTTTATGTACAGACACAGATGTGTCTGTACATATTGCCATCACCTGCGTCTGTCGTCGCCGTCGCCGATGCCGTCGCCGTGCACTTTCCTTGTAAACACGATAAGTGGAAGGCAGTTTTACTTTTTGGCTTTATATTTACAGAGCTGATGAATATTCATAAAACGCAGGTCAAGTTCGAAAATCAGCATGATCGGGCCATTATTGTAGAAGTTATGCTGTTTTTTCACTTTTCAGGATATATGCAACCTTGTAAACACATTTTAAGGAAAACCGTTAGGCCTGTTGTCATGACACTCACAGGAATAATTAATCTTACTAAAACGCAGGTCAAGTTCGAAAATCAGCATGATCGGGCTACTATTTTAGTAGTTATGCTGTTTTTTCACATTTCCTCAGATTTCCTCAGATTTAATTCTTAGGCATGTTAATAGCCTTATCATTTAAGAAATAAGATACGTAAAAGTGTTTGTTTGACATTTCCTGCATCTTTACAACATTGTTAGTTGATTATGTAAAAATGATGGTAAACTTGTTATCGTGTATTGTGTAATAAAGTGTCAAAAATGGAAATAAACTCATATCATTGCAGTTTGTCAGATTCAATCATTCACTATGTTCAGAATCTCAGAATGGAAGAAATTGGACATTTAACACTGTTCTATTGATATTTTTCACATCTCATCAATTTTCTTAGTTGATCTTATAAAAATGGCAGTAACCTATTAATTTTGTTTTATGTTAAAAAAGTGTTAAAAATGGAAATAAACCCATTTCAGAACAGTGCAGTCTTGTTTACATTTTGGCATTTTGAAGGTGTGACTTTGAAGTTCCATCGGCCTAAAAACCTTTGTTAGTCACGTTTACTATTTGTCCATGATACTAATATTTTATTATTAAAAATTGATGATCATTATGCTGTTAAACATTATGTAATATTGCATCAAAATTTGAAAAAAA